TTGCCTTCCTCTGCATAGCAACCCCGGTCTTACTTGGTGGTCTCCCATCTAAGTACTAACTATAGCCAACCCTGCTTAGTTTCCAAGCTCTTACAACATTAGGTTAGGCTGTGCTGCCAGGCAGTTTGGTACCCCTGGTATCCGTGCTTAAATCTGGAGTGTACCGTCAGCATTTTTAAAACACAAGAGTGTTTATTCTTTCAATGGATCTGCTTGTACTTAGAGCTGCAAAGACATTATTCACCAGCATTTTCTACCTGGATCCACAGTCACAGAGACAGAAAGGAAAGTGGCATGCTCAGAAATTTCCAAAAGGCATCTCTCAAATCTTCCTCTCAAACAGAGGTCATTTCGGCATCTCTCAAATCTTCCTCTCAAACAGAGGTCATTTCGGGGGGGATCGCGGGGGATTGCAGTTCCCCTGGGTGAGGTACGGGGGGCGGGGCACATGACGAAGCCCCGCCCCCTGCTTCCGGCCGCCCCGCTGCCGGCCCTCATTCAGCCAGGAGGAGGCAGGAGAAGAGGGAGGGTGAGTTGCTTCCTCCCTGCCTCTCCCCACCCCTGCCTGCCTGGGGCCAGGGAGGGCCTTCGCGGGGCTTCCTTGCACTCCCGCCGGCCTTGCAGGCCCACCGCCGGGCCACTCATGGGGCTTGGCAGTGGAGCTGCAAGGCCGGTGGCGGCGGCGGCCGGGACCATTGGGGGCGGTGTGTGTGGCCTTATGACACACTTCCGGTGATGTCAGGGGGTGTGGCCTTATGACACACTTCCAGTGATGTCAGGGGGTGTGGCATATGCTAATGAGGTATGCTAATGAGCCCCCCTAGCTCTTTTCCTACGAAACGACCCCTGCTCTCAAATAAAACAAGGATAGTAAGTGACCAGCAATGGGTACTGAAAAATCACACCGTCCCCGGTAGTAAGGGAGAGTGGGAGGACATCTGTTCTGCAAAAGCCAGTCTGTTTGCCTGCTTCCGCTGCTGGCCGGGGCCACGAAGCCTGCGTTTCAAAACATGTGCGTGGCGCGTGGAGACCAGCCGCATCCTGCACGTTGGCCGTCATCCCTCGGAGGATCCACGCTCCCTGTGCAGAGAAGAGGACAAGACGCAAGCCAAATGGAGAGCAGATGCTGGTGATTTCTGCACTGAGGAATGTGCCGCTGGGGTGTGTGTGGGGGGGGGATCAGAGCCATTAAATCCTGCTGGTCGCCTCATTGTTGGAGGGATGCAGGAAATGCAGAGAAAGACCCTCTGGGATGCAGCTGCGGGAGGGAGGCGGCCAGGCAAGGGTCACTGAAGGCAGGCACGTGAGGGGAGGGCACCGTCCCCTGTTCATCTCCAGAAGCCCCGTTGACAAGCTACAGGGAATGCATTTACAATGTACACGACTTTTCTTTTTACACGCATTGAGGAGAGAGAAGAGAGAGAGGAGATTGGATTTATGCCCCGCCCTTCAAGGACCCAAGGGCGTCTCAGAGCAGTTTACAATCTCCTTTCCCTTCCCCTCCCCACAACAGACACCCTGTGAGGTAGGTGGGGCTGAGAGAGCTCTTGACAGGAACTGCTCTTTTTCAAGAACAGTTCTGAGAGAACTACGGCTTGCCCAAGGTCATCCAACAGGTGCAAGTGGAGGAGTGGGGAATCAAACCTGGTTCTCCTATATTAGAGTCCACACACTTAACCACGACACCAAACTGGCACCAAAATTGAGTAATTTGCATGTGACATTCAATGCACGTGCAGCTGCACGTGTGATCTAAAACCCATATTTATCCAGGTCCTCGTCCCTGGTTCCATTTGTAAAGTGAATGCCTGTCAGCTCTTTCTTAACATGCGTTCACGGGAATGTGGGGATGGGGGCCCAGGGGACCTGGCGCAGTTCCGCAGGGCCTGCAAGACGGAGCTCTTCCGCCAGGCCTTTGCATAGGAGCCGCTGCCGTCACTGCACCACCACCGAGTGCCATCTACGACGGTGGATTAGATCTGGAGGTGAGCCGGCCCTGGGCAGACGCCTAGTTAACCAAAAAATGTTTGTTGTCAGGCTAGGTTGACAAATGGAACTCATCTTGGATTAAGGAAACTAACATCAAGAGCACCGCACTTTACTCAATGATGGTTTTATATTGTTAAATGATTGTTTTACGTTGTTTTAACTGTCTGTTCTGGCATTTGCCTCTGTTGTAAGCCGCCCTGAGCCCGTTGGGGAGGGCGGGGTATAAATCTAATAAATAAATAAATAAATATTCATTCTCCTGCCCTGGGGGGGCGGGTAAAGTGCCATCAAGTCACAACTGATTTAGGGCAACCCCGTAGACTTTTCAGGGGAAGAGACCTTCAGAGGTGGTTTGACATTGGCTGCCTCTGTTTCACGACCCTGGCATTCCTTGGCTGTCTCCCATGCAAATACTACCCAGGGCCGACCCTGCTTACAGGGCCGGCCCCAGCTTATTTTGCACCCTAGGCGGGGATCCCTTCTGGCGCCCTCCCACCACCGGTGCGCCCACCAATTTTAAAAAATAAATGCATTTTAGGAAGAATGAAAAACACAAATAATCAAGAAACTCCCAGAGTACGGGGCCGCGTGCAGTTTGGTGCCCCTAAGGGCCGGCCTGCTCTAGGCGATCGCCTAGTCCGCCTAGTGAGTGAGCCGGCCCTGCCTGCTTAATTTCCAGGATCTGACAAGATAGGGCTACCCTGCCCTATTACCACTTCAGTAAAACTACTGATGCGCAGGGCTCTTTTTGTAGAAAAAGCCCAGCAGGAACTCATTAGCATAATAGGCCACACCCAACAGCAGAAACCCATTAGCCTATTAGGCCACACCCCTGACCGCACAGCTCATTAGCACATTAGGCCGCACCCCCATGTTACCAGAAGTGTGGTCATCCAGCCACACCCACCTTTTGCTTGTTATTCTGTTTACCTTGTTTGTGGTCAAAACCCAGGGCTTTTTTGTAGCAGGGACTCCTTTGCATGTTAGGCCACACACCCCTAATGTAGTCAATCCTAATGAGTTTCTGCTGTTGGGTGTGGCCTATTATGCTAATGAGTTCCTGCTGGGCGTGGCCAACTTGGAGGAGGGAGGAGGAGGAGATTGGATTTATACCCCGCCCTTCACGTGGAGTCTCAGAGCGGCTTACAAACTCCTTCCCCTTCCCCTCCCCACAACAGACACCCTGGGAGGTGGGTGGGGCTGAGAGAACTCTGACACAAACTGCTCTTTTCCAAGGACAGCTGTGCCAGAGCTTGTGACTGACCCAAGGTCACATCAGCAGGTGCAAGTGGAGGAGTGGGGAATCAAACCCGATTCTCCCAGATTAGAGTCTGCACACTTAACCACTACACCAAACTGGCTCTCTTAGGGAGCCAGCCGGAACTCCATTCCTGTGCGTTCCTGCCCAAAATGTTTGAGTAATTGATTTATTATGTACTTCATTCTCCTTCCTTTTTTCCAAACGCCCCAAGGTAGAGGTTATCCAATATATTCATTTAAAACTACCCTGTGACGCCCGGTCTTGTCAGATCTCGGAAGCTAAGCAGGGCTGGCTTTGGCAAGTACTTGGAAGGGTGACCTCCAAGGAATACCAGAGTTGGGGCGCAGGGGCAGGCAATCAAGCCACCTCTCTGAAAAACGTCCAAGTCCCCGGTAGGGGTCACCAGACGTCAACCATGTCTTCCAAGCAAGCACACAGACCCACGCATACGTACACACAAATATGTTTTTTAAAAACCCTGTGAGGTAACTTACGCTGAGAGACATTAATTGGCCCAACACTTTGAGACGTGGGGGGACAGTTCTTGAACTGATCAGCCACCACAAAAAATAGGTTACGGGCAGGGGTCGTTTCGTAGAAAAAGAGCTAGGGGAACTCATTAGCATAACTCATTATCATATGCCATACCCCCTGACATCAGGGGCCCGGCGGTGGACCTGCAAGGCCGGCGGGAGTGTGAGGAAGCCCCGCCAAGGCCCTCCCTGGCCCCAGGCAGGCAGGGGTGGGGAGAGGCGGGGAGGAAGCAACTTACCCTCCCTCTTCTCCTGCCTCCTCCTGGCTGAATGAGGGCCGGAAGCGGGGCGGCCGGAAGCAGGGGGCGGGACTTTGTCATGTGCCCCGCCTCCCCGTACCTCACCCGGGGGAACTGCGATCCCCCACGATCCCCCCCGAAATGACCTCTGGTTACGGGGATCAAGTGGCCAGCTCACAGAACTAGTGCAGTCCGGCAGTGGAACTGGGAAGTTTGAATCTCAGCTCAGCCGTAAAGTCCATTGACAGCAGTGGGCAAGCCGTTCATTTATAATGTTGGCATAAGTGTGCCGGCCTACCCTACTGGAGTGTTGTGATGGCTACTGAGAAAATGGGCATGAAATGCTTTGGAGACTTTCAAGGGCTATAGAGATGCCAAGTATTGTTATTTGAAACACATAGCTTTTGCCTTGGATTTCAGATTGTTTGCCAGGGAATCAATTTTCATTGATCTGAATGTGGAGAGAGAGAGAGAGAGAGAGTGGGTGTGTGAGTGTGTGTGTGTGAGAGAGAGAGAGAGAATGCGGAGTCTGGTGGCTCGGCAGTGGTCTTTGTGGAGTGTGTTTTTGCTTTGCTTGTTTCTATTATGGGAGGGGGTCTTTCCCCATGATATGACCTCATTCAATGAGTAATTAAGTTGTGGGATTCACTGCCGGTGGACAGCGTGAGTGCCACTTGTAGAGATGGCTTTGAAAGGGGATTAGACAGATGCATGGAGGAGAGGTCGTCAACGGCTACTAGTCATGGTGACCGAAAGGAACCTCCACATCCAGAGGCAGTCAGTCTCTGAATTCAGCGCTCTGAGGCAACATCTGGGGGAAGTCTTGGTGCTATGCCCTGTTTGCTGGCCCTCGTGGGCAGTTGGTTAGCTACGGTGTGAAAGCAGATGCAGGACTAGATGGACCCCTGGTCTGATTCGGCAGGGCTCTTCTTATGTACTTACGTTTTGGGATTTTCTCTCTCTCTCTTTCTTCCCCAGGAGTTTCTCTGTGACCCGAAGTTTAGCGATGAAGAGAATTTGGAGGAAAAACTTGCTGTTTTTAAAGGTACCTATCCATGTGGTTTCAACTGAGTGGGGGAATGCTAGAGAAGAAGCCACCTGTGTTTTAGGCGAATCCAGGGCTTTTTTTGTAGAAAAGGCCCAGCAGGAACTCATTAGTATATTAGGCCACACCCATGACAACACAGCTTATTAGCATATTAGGCCACACCCCCGTTTTACCAGAAGTGTGCTCATCCAGCCACACCCACCTTTTGCTTCTTATTCTGTTTACCTTGTTTGTTGTCAAAACTCAGGGCCTTTTTTTGGAGCAGGGACTCCTTCCTTTGCATGTTAGGCCCCACACCCCTAATGTAGCCAATCCTAATGAGTTTCTGCTGTTGGGTGTGGCCTATTATGCTAATGAGTTCCTGCTGGGTGTGGCCAACTTGGGAGCCAGCCGGAACTCCGTTCCTGTGCTTTCCTGCCCAAAAATAGCCCTGGGCGAATCCATGAAACTGTCAAAAACCTGAGGTTTCTTCCAGGCCGTTGACAACTTAACAATTGGGGCCAGAGATTGCCTGAGGCGGACAAATGTCAGGATCCAGAAGCCTGCCAAGAAGGCTTGCCAACTGTGTCTTGGGAAATTCCTGGAGATTTGGGGAAGGGGGTGGCTGAGGGAGGCAGAGTTTGGAGAAGGGAGGGAACTTAGCAGGGATGTAATATCATAGAGCTGACCCCACAAAGCTGCCGTTTCCTTCAGGGGAACAGGGTTTGGTTTTTTTTATATAGTCTGGAGATCAGTCATAATTCCAGGAGAGCTCCCTGCTCCACCTGGAGGTTGGCAACCCCTAGTACTGAGCCACCTGGGCCGGCATATTAAAATTTTGCTGGACTTCTGGGAACTGGAGGGTAGGAAGAGAGAACGGGTTAAGTACTGAGTGGGGGGGAGGGAAGCCCTTCAAGCATTCTCCAGGTTCACCTGTGTTGCCCGTCCTCTTTGGTGGACAAGGGAACCCACCGGCAGGTCTTAGAAACAGAGAGTTGGAAGGGACCTCCAGGGCCTGGAGGAAAATTCCTTCCTGACCCACAAGTGGCGACCGGCATTATCCTGGGCTTGTAAGCAGGGGTCATTTTGTAGAAAAAGAGGTGCAGGAGCTCATTAGCATAACTCATTAGCATAACATATTTGCATATGCCACACCCCCTGACGCCACCGGAAGTGTGTCAGAAGGCAACACCCACCGCTCAGGTTCCACTGGACTGTTTTGGATTGCTAGCTATTGGGGGGGGGGGAGCGTGCAGATCTGCCCTCAGGGCTGCTGGGAGCAGGGGGTGGGGCTTGTTGCATGTGCCCGCCCCCTGGACTCCTTACTGCCGGAGCTCCGCTCCTGTGCGCTCCCGCAGGAAATGACTCCTGCTTGTAAGAAAGGGCCATGAGAACCAAGCATGGACTCATCCCTTCTGGCCTTCCCTCTCGTGAACTCCCTACGGAAGAAGGAGGTGGAGGAGGAGGAGGGGGAGGAGGAGGAGGAGGAGGAGGAGATTGGATTTATACCCCGCCCTTCACTTGGAGTCTCAGAGCGGCTTACAAACTCCTTTCCCTTCCCTTCCCCGCAACAGACACCCTGTGAGGTGGGTGGGGCTGAGAGGACACAAACTGCTCTTTTCCAAGGACAGCTGCGCCAGAGCTTGTGACTGACCCAAGGTCCCATCAGCAGGTGCAAGTGGAGGAGTGGGGGAATCAAACCCGGTTCTCCCGGTTTAGAGTCCGCACACTTAACCACTACACCAAACTGGCTCTCTGCATTGCTGAAGAACTCCTATAATCTTGGGACTGGCCTAGGGTTGCCAAGTGCTTACCTGTTCCGGAGCGGGGGAGTCCAGCCTTGCTCTGGGAGTCTTCGCGCGTGCGCAAAGCACATCGGGGCCACATAGTTTTCCCTCGGATGATTGTGGCCCCGCCCCCAGGGCCGGCTTGAGGTGTTTCTGCGCCCTAGGCGAGGCTGCCTTATGGCGCGGATGCCAGTGGGGCCTGGAGACCTGGAGACCTCTGGAGCCAGCCACCCTTTTGCTGCCACCACCACCGCCTCCTCCCCCCCCGCCGCCACCACCACAGGGGGGAGGAGGGGGGAGGCACAGCTTGGCGCCCCATCCAGGGCCCAGTGCTCTAGGCGAATGCCTAGTTCGCCTAGTGGGTGAGCTGGCCCTGCCCGCCCCCAACGTCCCCAATGTGCTTGCGTCACTTCTGTGTGATGTACTTTGGGGGTGGAGTTCCCCCCGGGGGCCCAATCCGGCGGCGGGGAACGGGCCTCCCGGGCGGGGGTTTCCCCCCCCCGGGGGGGGACTTGGCATCCCTAGACTGGCCATGCCTTGGTGAACCCTTCACAGGTTGCCAGGCCTACTTGCGGGGCAAGTTGTGTTGTCAGATCCAGGTTGGGAAACTGCTGGAGAGATGGGGATAGAGTCTGGGGAGGACAGGTGGGGTACAATGCCATAAAGTCCACCCTCCAAAGCGTCTGTTTTCTCCAGGGGGGTTGGTTTCTGTAGTCTGGGGATGTGCTGTAATTCCAGGGGATCTCCAGGTCCCGCCTGGAGGCTGGCGTCCCTACTCCAGAGGCAGCCATGTCCGTCCTGAATGGCTGGCTTAGGTCACAGGTTTTACAGCTGGGGAGATTCGAGGAAGAATGTTCCTTGGCTCTGCCGTCTGGGTGTGGGCAGAATGGTCCTCCAAGGAGACGGCTCTGGAGTTTTTGCGTCTTAAGTTGCTTGACCCCAGTGATACCGGGAAACAGATGTGGTTGTGCAATCTGGTTTTTTGGCCCCACCGTTTCCTCTGCTGGGAGATTTAAGGAGTACACAGATGCACTGATGTTTATGACTTGGTCTCCGGGTCGATTCAAGTGAGCCCCTTTCCACCTCTTCATTCCCCGTGGATTCTGCAGTGACCACCAGGCGGGATCCATCTGGAAGAGCTTTCCTGAAACGGAAATCAGTCTTCCTCATAATAGTCAGCACACTTCCTGTCAGCTTGCCAAAGTCTGATGGCCCACCTGTAGTTACCATCTCTTGTAGGGATGCCAACTCCAGATTGGAAAATTCCTGGAGATTTGGGGAAGACAGGGTCTGGAGAGGGGAAAGACCTCAACAGGCTCTTATACCATAGGGCAGTGATGGCGAACCTTTTAGAGACCGAGTGCCCAAACTGCGACCCAAAACACACTTATTTATCACAAAGTGCCAACACGGCCATTTAACCTGAATGCTGAGGTTTTACTTTAGAAAAAACAACTCATACATTAACTTAAGATGGTCCAAACAAAGTAAGGAAAGCAATCCCAAATGCTTTCATTGACTTAAAATTATTTGGCAGAGAATCCGACACTTTAATGATGGTCTGGGCCTGGCTGGGGCGACGGCACGCATGCCCGCAGAGAGGGCTCTGAGTGCCACCTCTGGCACCCGTGCCAGAGGTTCGCCACCACTGCCATAGGGTCTACCCTCCAAAACTGCCATTTTCTTCAGCAGAACTGATTGCTGCTTCCTGGAAATCAGTTGTAATTCTGGGAGATCTCCAGGACCCCACCTGGAGGTTGACGACCCTATTTCTTGGTTTATGGAAGTGTTGGCACGTAGGGGTCAGTCACCTTGCAGGTATCCAGAGGTTCAGATCCTGAGATGCTAAAGGAGAGAGCCTGGGTGCTGGGTGGGTCAGAGGGTAGAGCCTGGTCGGATGGGAGGGGACTCGACTGAACGTGGTCAAGAGGATGCCTGGTCAGTCACAAGTTCTCTCAGAGCTGTTCTCTCAAGAGCAGTCCTCGGAAGGGCTCTCTCGGCCCCACCTACCTCACATGGTGTCTGTTCTGGAGAGGGGAAGGGAAAGGACGTTGTAAGCCGCTCTGAGACTCCGAGTGAAGAGTGGGATATAAATCCAGTATCATCATCAGGGCTATTTTTGGGCAGGAACGCACAGGAACGGAGTTCCGGCTGGCTCCCAACTTGGCCACACCCAGCAGGATCTCATTAGCATAACAGGCCACGCCCAACAGCAGAAACTCATTCAGATTGGCTACATTAGGGGTGTGTGGCCTAACATGCAAAGGAGTTCCTGCTACCAAAAAAGGCCCTGGGTTTTGACAACAAACAAGGTAAACAGAATAAGAAGCATAAGGTGGGTGTGGCTGGATGACCACACTTCTGGTAACATGGGGGTGGGGCCTAATGTGCTAATGAGCTGTGCTGTCAGGGGTGTGGCCTAATACGCTAATGAGTTCTTGCTGTTGGGTGTGGCCTATTAAGCTAATGAGTTCCTGCTGGGCTTTTTCTACAAAAAGAGCCCTGAATCATCTCCTCCTCCTCCTCCTCCTCCTCCTCCTCCTCCTCCTCCTCTCTTCCTTCTCCTCCTTCCTCTTCACCAAAGCAAGAACAAAAAAAAATATATTCCCCAGAAGTCAAAGCCTTGGCCTCGTTTCCATTTGGAAGCCTGGAGCGCCTTTAGCATCGGCTTTGACCATTTGGATTCGGGTCCGGCTTGCAGTTGCCAGTCTCCAGGTGGGGCCTGGAGATCTCCTGGAATCACAACTGACCTCCGGATTACAGAGATCGGTTCTTTTGGAGGAAACGGCTGCTTTGGAGGGTGGGCTCTACAGCGTCACATCCAATGTTTCCTCTAAGCTGCGGGCTCTTGTGAGCAGAAATCCTCCTTTGTGAGCGACTGGCATTAAAGCTGCGAGCAAGCGATTTGGCTGCTGCGTCAGTTAGTTTGCTCTGGAGCCATCCCTCCTGAGCGAAGACCAAAATGTGTGAGCCGGAGGCTAAAAAGATGTGGGCTAGCTCACACTCACTCAGCTTAGAGGGAGCACTGGTCACATGATCCCTGCTGAGGCCCCTGCCCTTTCCAAACCCTGCCCAGCCTCTACTCACCAGCCTCCAGGAATCTCCCAACCTGGACCCGGCAACCCTTGCTCATGGCAGCTCTTCCCAGGAGCCTGCCCGTTGGACGCCTGGCATGCCTCCCTCCTACCTTGCCCTCCTTGTGTGTTGTTGTTTTTTAAAAAAGCAGAGAAC